AATAACTAATAAAATAATTAAATCTTCGGAAATAAAATAAATACTAAATAAAACTAATTAAAATAATTAAACTTTAACTAACAAAATAACTAATAAAATAATTAAACCTTAACTAATAAAATAATTAAACCTTCGGAAATAAGATAAACAACTAAACCATTCGAAATGAAATCCACAGATAAACGTTTAGAAATAAAAGAAATCGCTCGAGAAGAAATTTTCGATCGTTTGTTTCGAAACGTTGCCGCCCGTTCAATTCAAACGTCCGGAGAACCAGCGCGCGTGCACGCCCTCGTCGGCGGCGAATGAGACGCGCCGTCACAGTGGAAAACGAGCCGTCCGGCTCGGAGCCGCAACGATCATGCTCCGACTTATTGATATTTTCGCCGGAGCGGCGAGCGAGACGCGGTGAAGTCGGAAAATAGCGCGAGCGGGACGCAACTAGGGTTGAAGAGGGTGCGCCGGAGCCTCCGTCACGCCCGCATGCTCAACGCGTGCAGTCCTCCGTCAGGTGTATACAGCTGATCGCCGACTTCCGTGATCCTCCTCCGCTCCAGCATCTTCCCTTCGTCATTCTTTCGCGTGTGAACACACGGGAGATACGACTGAGAATCGAAAAGACCGAAAGTTCGCAAAGTCAAAAGTCAAAAGAGTGATGTTACGTTATGGATAGATGGTCGTACGTGGAGAGTACTTTTTTTGGGGAACGTCTTTGAGGAGCTTTGAACGTCTCCATCCGCCACCAACGCGACGCTGTAAGCTTGCACATTGCTCGTAATCGGGCTCGCGAGCTTAATATCTCTAACTATTGGAGGAGATGAAAGGAGCGCTGAAGAAATTCCAAGTACTGCACCTGTAATCGAGGTGAGGGAAGATTCAAGTCAATCTGGGAACAGAAACGAGTAACGAAAAGAGGTAACAGAGAGATGTGGTAACAGCAGGGGAGATTCGAGATAGTATAATGGGGATAAAGGAAGAATTATCGCTGGTAATTGAAAGATTGGCACAGAAGGAAAGAAATATCGTGCGATAGAAGCGGAGGATAATTCCAGATTACTAAGAAACTTTGAATATTTCAAAATCAGGGGCGAGGAGAAGCTCCAGGCAACGATAAATTCCAATTATAAACTGTAACAGAAGAACAAAAAAAAAAGAACAACACCAAAAAGTTTAAAGCAAGAGAGTGTTTAAAAGGAAAGTTAGAAGAATATATAAATGTCAAAAAAGGTCGAGAGAAAGGGAAAATTCGAGATTTGGTAAAAATTCCAAATATATAAGTAGGAAAAATTCTACATAGTGAAAATAGTAAATAGTAAAAAAATACCAAAAATACCGTAGGACGTAACAAACGATAGAATAGAATGCTACGCTACACATGTAATGAAACACAATAATAGAACGTAGAACACTATAACAGATATAACAGAGCACTCTAGTATACGACAGCACAAGTAAAAAAAATAAAAAATTGCGACGGTAGATTTTTATTATATTAGTATTGTTTAAAAGAGGGGAAGAAGGAAAATATAAGTTAAAAGAAAAGAAAAAGGAGCGACTATGTGGAGTGAAGTGGCGTGATTCTTCGTGGATTCTTTGGCCCCTGGATTCTGGATGTCGTTGGTCGCCGCGACGTCGTCGTCGTTCAGAGAGGGTGGACCGCGAGACAGGACGAGCCGCTTCCGAGGCCACGATTGTTTCGAGTAACACGGTTCGCCACGCTCGATAATCGCCGCAAGCTCGTCTATGATGGCCAACGAGGAAACACAGAGACCGTACAGGTGCGTGTTTTCCTTCTTTCGTTTTTTCTTTTTTTTT